CACTGTGGATCTGCTGTAATATTGAGACAGTCACTACACTGGAGCTGCAAGTGAATATAGTTAGCACCTTTTCTTGTATAACGATCTCCATCACTGTTAGGTTGATAGACACCAATCCTGATAGTATCAGACAGTGCTCCAGGACTCCTCTTATAGCAGAGCCTCCATTGAGTGATTACCCCATAGCAAGTAAAGGGATTATTGCGGTCAATGTAAAAGGTAGCACCAAGAGTGTTTCCTGTCATAGACTGGCTAACTATAAATGGATTATGTCTCACATTACAAGTCGTCAGCTGCCCCTGCCCTTCAATACTGGGGAATAGATAAATGAGTGTCAATGAAGAAAGAAGCAAAGAAGTAAAAGGAGATTGGTGAGGAGACATTGTTGTATGACTTGACAAATCAGACCACTTTACCTGTTATAGTTGGAAATATTCTTGTGCATGTACTACTGATCAGACCATTCATTGTTTGTTTTAACACATTTTTCTACTGAGCATGTTAATCAAGCAAGTGGGTTGTTAAAGGTATAAAAATCACAATTATTACATGACAGAGTATGTTATATGCCCTTGATTATGTATTATTTACAAATCAATTGTCACACTGAAAATAATAACAAAGCAGTTTATGCAACAGTTCAAATGGAGTCTTAGTTTATGTTTGTACATTAAGCTCTAAAGAACAAACAAGCAACCATTATATTAAACTAATAAATGAAATGCAACAATAACACTGATTATATATAGTCATCATCATCTCCTGGTTCTATACTACTAGGGAATTGACTTTCATTACTTACTCCATAGCAAGGGTTGGCCTCAGTAGCTACATGACATTTAATTAACACAGTCCTTATATTATTAGTTAAACTAACTTGTGATCATATGTTGTGAATCACTAATGCTATTCAGTTCATCATATACAACAATATCATTACCAGTACTAGTAATGTTCATACCATAGCAAGGATTAGCATCATTTGTTACATCACCTATTGTCATAAAATGAAATAAAATTCAATTTCATATTCATGGTCTACCTATGTTGTTTGTGCTGTCTATAAATTGAGGAGTCACTAACTTAATACTGGCCTTGTTTCTATACAGACGGTATGAACATAAAATGATTACGAAAATCATGATTAATGCAACTATTGAAC